TGTCGCTGGTTGGCGGGTGCCGCATCCACAGCCTTTCATGCTTCCTGATCAATGGTTTTACCCTGCTGGGAGCTGCACGCAATCAGGACAGACGCAGGGCAGAACACACAACTGTTGTTACAGCCTGTTGAACATAAAATTAATTTGTTGCCCAAGCACAGGCAGTTTGGGTTTCCAGTCAGAACTGGCAAGATGAGAGGAAATGTGATAGCAAGAGGTTGAAACAAACAAACAAAAACAAAAAAAAACCAAAACCACCCCCCCAAAACATCACCAAAAAACACCCAGACAACCCAGGAAAATGTAATAGGAGTTGGCTGGCAAGTCAGCAAAAAGAAGATACTCAACCACAAATACCTCTGCTAATCTTTGTAACAAGTAATAGCGCAGACAACAGCTTAACTACAAGAGTGTAAGTAAAAACGTTGAATACAATGTGGTACTTCTGCACTGCTTTTCGTTTAATATTTAATACTGTCAGTCCCAGCTTTTCACCAAGTATTGGTCACATCGGAAGTTGGAACCACAGATTCCCTTCCTAAGCATGTATTGGGCTGGGAAATGCTAGCAATGGCAGAGTTCAGCCTTCAGGTCTTTGGAACGTGCCAACGTATAACTATTTAAAACTGTCACAGCCGAACAGCTATAATGCATTGAATCTAATTTTTGTGAAAGCGGGTTTCTTTACCTCAATTCTGCATGGCCTTACAGCACTTTCAGCAGCGTAAGTACAGAGGTGTTACGTTACACCATACCTCCCCTCTTTTCTGCATAGTAAGGGATTTGGGAAACTACTACAGCTCTGCTCTCGCGCAGTTCAGAATTAAAAATGAATGAGGTATGCAGGGAGTCAGGAAGCTGGAAGGAGGTAACAGTTGTCCACATACTGCAAAGGAATCGAATACCAAGGGGAGCAACACCGGGCTGGAGTATTTAAAGACTAAACTTGCCGCAGGAGAAGATTTGGTTCTCAGCGCTTGAGATAGAACACGTAGCTTGTACAGACGCCGAATGAAATGTGGAAAACAAAAACGTTTACTGTAGTGTGAAGAATTTTACATTAACTTTGAGAATAGATACACAAGCTGTGGCAGGGACAAAATACAACAGGACTGCAAAACCATAGAATAGAAAATACTTTGGGGGCAATACTAAAATTCCCATCAAATTAACAATATAAACCGACATCTTAGATAAAATGGTGCTTTCAGAAATGCTTAGCCACCAAAACCAAAGAGTCCTAGGATTTTTACTACCACTTATT